AGGCACCGGAACCATTTTAAAAGTATCGATTTGGCACCGGTATTGAAAAAAACCCAAACGATACCTAACCCTAGCTGGGAGGTACAGTATAGTGAGTTTGTACGATATATTGATATATATATATTTTTTTACAAACTGGACCAAGGGCAGGAAGATAATGAAGGACCCCAGCCATCGACAACTCTCTGTTGTGGTCAGGGAAACGTTTCTGCTTACATTTGATTTGAAAGAGAATGTTGTTACAAGAAGGAGGGGAAGTTATTTTGGATAAAAGGCATTAAAAAAACATGTCACAGATAAATCTTTTATTAAATAAACCACTGCAATATACTATTAAAAAAAATAAAAAGTAAATTTTGATTTCATGGTGACTTTAACATGTAGCCCATTGCTAGCATGTTTTAAAATGTTGCTACTATGATTCACACATTTACACAATGTACTATTGATACATAATATGTTGCATGTTGTTAAAATAATAAAAATAATAAATTGTTTTAAGTAAAATGTATTATGTAATTATTATTATTATTGTATTAGATAATAATAGATGATGCTTCGCAAGAAAATAAATAAGCATGTGAGATAACAACAGTGATGTCTTGCCTGCCACAATAAGCTTAAATAGTAGATAAGTATTTTGGCTTCGTCAAGTCAACATAAGTTACTAGAAACATTTTCTCAGGGGATTTATCATAATAAGCAGTTTAAACATCTCAGTCACCCACCTGCTACAAGATCACCAAATCCAATAGTTGTCAAAGTGACAAAAGAAAAATACAAGCCCTCAATATAGGTCCAGCCCTCTTGAGACATGAATACAAATGGAGGAATCACTAAATGCACCAACACACCCCATAACAGAAAGACAGCTGTGCAGGTGAACTGTGTTTTCCGCTTTAACAAGAAGAAAAACACACACACAATTAACAACCTTATAACAGAAAAATAGCAAAATGCAGTTAGAAGTTTCATAGCTGTTATTTTAGTGATATTCAGATTTCAAATATAATGGTTGTTTGTGATTATTCCTCACCAATGTTACCCCTTTCTTAGTAAGATATTGCCCAAGGTGTTTAGCTCTTCCTCCAAAAAACTTTCCAAGTTCACTGATCCATGTGAAACACAGCGGCACTCCAAAAAGACCATAAAAGATACAGAAAACCCTCCCTGAACGTGTTTTAGGTGCAATATTTCCATAACCTGCAGATATAAAAAATGTTTGGTAAAACAATTTCTCTCATTACAGTCTGAACACAACGGGGTGTTTTCCCGTATAGGGATTCGATTAAGCCAGGACTAGGCCTTTGTTAAATAAGGGCATTTAAGTAGTTTTTACAAACATTCCTTACAAAAAAAACATTACTTGTGTGCATTTTAAGACCAAACAATGGCACTGGTGTATTTTAAGATATGTCAGTGCAAGCTTTTGTTCAGTTTAGACAGCTCTAACATTTATTTTAATCTAGCACTAGTCTTAAGCCCTGTTTAGGAAATTGTCCCAACATGTTCTATCTTAAGATATGGCATCCATATATTTCTCTGAGTATTAAACAGAATTTAAGTATCCATAGAGGAAAACAATGCTTAAAAGTCTCCCAATTCTGTGGGAAAAAATATACATGACTGTAGCATAAATATTCACCTAGGGCTACACGATTAATCAAAATGAAATCACAGTTGCGATTAGGCAAAAGCTGTGATTGTCAGTTGTGTCTTTCAGTGAAGCACGGTTCTGTGATCAACAGTAAATCTCCATCCGAAGGCCAGAGGGCGCTCTCACGCTGATACTCCAAATATGTCCCGCAGAAGAAAGGTAATGCATGTCGTTCCAGGAAACAGAAGATTGAACTGTTTTCATTGATTGAACGAGACTAATAAACACAGGACTACGGCAATATATGGTTTATCTGAGTTCTTCTTCTTATCATTTTTATTATAATAAAGTACATTTATAATGCAATGCTAAGTGAGTTTGGAATAAAAACATGTTATTAAATGTGGTGTTTTGTGGGACAATGAAATGCTTCTCATGTTTGTGTAAAGATGTTTCATGCATGTTGCTTTTTTAAATGCATGTTATAAACGAATCAAACTTGCCGGGTAAAGGCTCCATGGCATACAGATGCGGGTTCAGATGGAGCAGCATTTACTACACAGAGCCGTAGTTCATTGACAAGCTACGCAAACTGCTTTCATAATCGCAGAAGGATTTCATCGATTTCAGAATCACATGATTAAATCGGTCTGCATAATATGAAACCGGTTTTGCGTAGCTTGTCAGGGAACTACAACCAGAGATTGTCTTACTATTGGGAGATGAGAGGGTCTGTATTACTTACTATTGGAGAAAGTGTAACGGTCAACTTGGATCATGTGTGCCTTAATAACCAATCACATTACAGCCTTGATGTCATTGCATTTCAGTCAGAGTTGTGCGACACTCAATCGCTGTTTGCGGATACCATAGGAATGAATGAGAAGTGCCGTAAACTGAATCCCACCTGTCGCAAATAGTCAGTGACTTCTCCTATAAAGCATTTTTTTTCAGTGTAAACTCTGAAAAATCCAAAAGTATTGTTTAGTGTAAAACATGTGCGGATACCATAGGAATGAATGAGAAGTGCCGTAAACTGAATCCCACCTGTCGCAAATAGTCAGTGACTTCTCCTATAAAGCATTTTTTTTCCAGTGTAAACTCTGAAAAATCCAAAAGTATTGTTTAGTGTAAAACATTTTGAAGATGAGCTGATAGGCAGTCGATTCATTAAATGATAAGCTGCTTCACTGAAAGATATGCATGTCAATCGCATTCGATTAATCATGCAGTCCTTTATTCACCATTTCCTGATTATTTTTTCAGTTAAGTAAATCAATGTTTCCTTTGATTATTTCTCCAAGTGAAACAGATTTGCTTGATTTTCATGCTGCGTATATAGACTAGATCCATACCTATAGTTGTAATAACTGTAGCTGCAAAGATGACAGCATTGGGCCAATTCCAGTTGTTGAAGGTTTTGTCTCCTGTGATGGTGATGCCTTGTCCTGCAGCATCAGACACCACCTATTTTAAAATTAAAAAAAAAAAAAGAAAAATTGTCAGAAAAGTCACACATTCAATTTAAATATAGAATCAAGAGAGTCTTCTTTAGAAGCATTCTGGATTTGTTGTGTGCCTGAGACCAGAACTTCTATTCTCTCATGCCAGTGATGTTATCAACTGCTCCCTGAGTATGTTTAGCCTGTCATAGTCAGTCATCTCTGGGAAATCTTAATCAGTCATTTCTGGGACATGAGTGGGTCATCATGGTCATTAAAAGGATTTTGGCAATTCCTTTTAATCCTTTTGGCATTTTGGCAATGGATCTGAGCTCAGATCATGCAAAGCTATCCTAGAAATATAGTGAAAAATGCGTATAGGTCCCTAAACACTTGTACAATCACAGATAAAATGATCTGGACATTTGTCATTCTGGACTAATGATCTGGACTATTAAACAGATAAACTCAAATAACTGAAGACTGATTCTTCCTGGTGAACAGTGTTGGGCAGTAAATGCGTTACTGTAATTTGATTACTTTTTTAGTAACGGAGTAATTTAATGCGTTATAATTTTCAAAATAGTAATCAAGAGTATAGTTACAAACCTAGGTCTCTATACTTACTGCTGCGTTACATTGCTGACAGAATGCAGTGTTTTATAATCTAGATTGTAAAAAGGATGTAGCACACGCACTGTCGAGTCAAGTGCCAGTGGATTAGAGACTTGCACTCCCGCGAGCCCCGACGCAACAGAATGCGGTGCGGGACAAGATGGGCGAGTGCTGGTGCGGGCAGGTAGACACTCGTGTGTATGCGGGATGCGGGAGAATAAAATTATTCACGGGACTCCCGCAAAATAGAAATATCTAAACATAAAATATCTAAAACAAATAAATTGTTATTCATCTATTGCACAAAAGCAACAAGAACTAATATAAAATAAAAAAACGATTAACAGGCGCAAGCATAGGCAGAGTTTCTATTTTAGGCTGTAACACGTGTTTGCTGCGTTGAGCAATGTTGATTTCTGGAACGCAATGGCCAGTCAGGAGTGCAGTGCTGAAATGTGCGTGCTCACGAATCCTCTGATTATAACACATGAATTGTAGACATTATGATAGATTCATTATGCATATATTGTGTTATAACAGAGCTTTGTGAGATGTCATATTTTTAGAGATTTTAAAATCAGCGCTATTTGCTGGCATTCTGCCATGCCAAACCATGTACGCAGCAGCTTGCTTTAGTTAAAAATAACAGTGTTTTGTGAACACGAATACAGGTGGTATAGGAAAAGGGTTAAAGCTTAGGCAGTAAAAAGAAGAGAAATAAAAACATGAAGCTATGGTACCATTTGATATTCAGCAGATCTACAGCCTGAAGGAAACATCAGATTCTTAGTTCAAACACACCTTTGTAAAA